ATTAAAAAAAAAAAAAAAAAAAAAAAACAACCTTTATGATTTAAACACTCCACTCCTTTCCTCCCTTTGTTTAATTTTTTATATTTTTAACAAACTAAGACTAAAAGGAAAAATTCCCTTCACGTCAACTTGTTTTCAAAAAAAGGAAAGGAAATAAAAAAAAAAAAAAAGATTTTTTTTAATTTAATAATAAAAATTTAGGATATATTTTAAATTAACTTAACAGTAGATCAGTTGTGAATTTAACTCGAGAATATTTGGTTGGAGAGGGAGAGTCAAACTGCTATTAATTTATTCTCTTGGAGAGCTCTAGATTGAAGGTTGATTATCCAGTCAATATAGCTGCAAAGTGTTGAAAATCTTGTGAATTTCAACGTAGAAATCAACCGGAAAGCCGAAGTCGACGGTCGCTCTTCAGTCTTTTACAGTCGGAGTTCCGAGAGCTCAACAATTTGATTCAACTATTGCTCTCGAGCCTCCGGTTGTAATTGTATCATCACGATCTGTAAGCCGTCTCTACAGTCTTCTCTCTGGAATTCTTTTCTGGTATAAACACTTCCATTTTAATCTAAATCATTGATTTCCTGTGCATTTGTAATTATACGTTAGCTTGAGTTGGTTCAGACGGTGATTTGAAGTCGAAGTGGATCGAGGAAGAGCGGAAATGGCCGTGTAAGTCTGTTCGTTCCTTGTGTTGCTTATATTTATGCCTTTAAGCTTGATGTTCATTTACGATTGATCGATTCAAGACTTTGTTAGTTTGATTTTGTTCTCGAGAAAAGAAATTAGTTAAACGACTGATTAATTTTTACTAGTACTTAAGCTTCAGGATTATAGTTGAAGATACTGAACTACTTTCAGTATGATCTCTATCTTTGGCTGTACGTTTTCTTGAGATCTTATTTTTGCCGCAACATCGTATCTGACAGGGTTGCTTCAGCTCCAGGGAAAGTTCTAGTGACAGGAGGTTACCTTGTCTTGGAGAAACCGAATGCAGGGCTCGTACTTAGTACTAATGCTCGTTTTTATGCAATTGTAAAACCAATTTACGAGGAAATGAAGCCTGACAGCTGGGCATGGGTACGTGGTTCTTTGATAATTATACCCTGTGAAACTTGTTGCTTCTTAATCCTTCAAACTTCAGCTATGTGAACTACATTTCTTTTGGTAGTTGCATGTTGTTGATGATATGTTCGTTATTTTGTTCACGTATTAGTTTTCTGTCGAGTTGAAATAGTACATTGAGAATTGGGATCAAAGTAATTTCATGCTAATCTGAGAATCAAAAATGAAGTATTGGTAGTCGTATACTTCTGGCTTTGTGCGGTTTTCAACTTAGGGAGTATCACCTTGCTTAAACAACTTGCTACCTATGACTAGTCATCTGAGATGTGTTAGATGAACACAACTCTCCACAATGGTATGATATTGTCCACTTTGAGCATAAGCTCTCATGGCTTTGTATTGGGCTTCCCCAAAAGGCCTCATACAAATGGAGATAGTATTCTTTGATTATAAACTCATGATCATTCCCTAAATTAGATGATGTGAGACTTTCATCCAATACCTCCCCTCGAACAAAGTATGCATCCCCTTAATCGAGGTTCGACTCCTTCTTCTTTTGGAGTCTTAGTCATTTTTTACTATGCCTTCGAGGCTCACAATACTTTTGTTCGACGTTTGAGGATTCTATTGACATGACTAAGTTTAAGGCATGTCTCTAATACCATGTTAGATGAACACAACTCTCCACAATGGTATGATATTGTCCACTTTGAGTATAAGCTCTCATGGCTTTGTATTGGGTTTCCCCAAAAGGCCTCATGCCAATGTAGATACTATTATTTGATTATAAACCCAGGATCATTCCCTAAATGAGACTTTCATCCAACCAGATGAACTCTTTGCTTAGAGAAAAGTAATTAGAAATGGAATTGAGTTTTTTTTTTTTTTTTTTTCTTTCTATTATTACTATTACTTCTGGAAGTCGATGTATGTATAATGCTAATATTCATAGCAACTGTTAAAAAAAAGTTTTCAATCAGCATATGTCAGCTACATTTCTTTTGCTTAACGGCCCATGTTTTTCAGTCATGGACAGATGTTAAGTTGACATCTCCTCAGCTCCTGAGAGAGAGCATCTACAAATTGTCATTGAAAACCCAATCACTTCAGAGTGTCTCTCCAAGGCAAGTAAATTAGTTATTCTAGTTGAGTGTTGGAACTTCTGTTTATAAGCACCCGTATGTGCGGTTATCTGATTAAAACTGGCTAAATTCAGTTGCTTGTCTCATCTTAAATTCGTGAACTTCATCATACTTGTATTTCCAGTGATTTAAATTACTATGGTTTTATCATATTATGGATGAGCTTTTCTTCTTTCTGTATCTCTAGTTAATGGGTTTCATTTAGTTGAGATGAGGTTATTAGTAAGATAGAGGTAAAATTCTTTTCAGTTCGTAATTAATGCTCACTTATAAGTATTGCTTACTGTTTCCAGTCAAGCAAGAAACCCTTTTGTAGAAAAAGCAGTGGAATATTGTGTAGCAGCTGCATGTGCAAAATTTGTTGACAATGACAATAAGAAGGCATTACACAAACTTCTCTTGCAAGGTAATGTTTAGTTTGTTGCTCATAACCTATCTTGCAATAATCAAATTGCTTATATACCCTACTAACTCTATGCTTCATTTTTACTGAACTTACAGGTCTTGATATCACTATTTTAGGTTGCAATGAGTTCTATTCATATCGGAGTCAGGTACTATCCCATTGCTCTATTTCTCATTCCCCTTGGGGGGTACACTAATTGGGCGTTTATCTCTTTTTAATTGATTTTCTTGCTATGTTATTTGGCTGTACTCTAGAACTTTGCTTTTACAGTTTCTATTATGTCTGTTCCATAGATTGAGGCTCGTGGACTCCCATTAACATCCGAATCATTGGCTTCCTTGCCTCCTTTTTCATCAATTACCTTCAATGATGAGGAATCATATGGGGAAAATCGCAAGCCTGAAGTTGCAAAAACTGGATTGGGCTCATCTGCTGCAATGACAGCTGCTGTAGTTGCTGCTTTACTCAACTACCTTGGGGTTGTAAATCTTTCCTTATTGACAGGTGAGCAAGAACAGAAAGGTAGTGCTGATGTTGATTTGGTGCATATAATAGCTCAAAGTGCCCACTGCATTGCACAAGGAAAAGTTGGCAGTGGCTTTGATGTCAGTTCTGCAGTTTATGGCAGTCAACGCTATGTTCGGTTTTCACCAGAAGTGCTTTCTTCTGCTCAGGTCTCTTCTTGATGGGCTATCCCTCTTTACGTGTTGTTTGGTCATACTGCCGTCTGAACCTAAATAAAACAAATTCATCAGTTTTGGTGCATATGTCCTAATATGAGAAGGTTGTTTTGTTTCGCCCTGTAGATTTTTATTATTTAAAATATTTTATCTTTACTTAGATAAAATACGATTCCATTTATTCAAGTTTTGATGCATATGTCCTTGTAACATGCAAAGGTTGTTTTGTTTTCTACCTGTAGATTTATATTATTTAAAATATTTTATCTTTGTCGAGATTAGATACCATACTAGTTTTATTTTACATTTTTTAGCTCATAGTTTTTGCTCATCTTAGTTAGTTTCCTGTTTATTATATCTTTAGTTTTATCCAAGTTTCTTCTTTTTTCTTTTTCTTTTTTTGCATGTAATAAGTGCAGTCATGAATTTTGTGATGAGACATTTTAGTTTGCTCACCAAGTGAAATAATTGATCTCCTCCGAAGTCTCAATGGATAAATAATAGCATCCTAGTCGTCCCTTGCCACTTTTTTTTTTTTTTTACCTTCTGCATTGTCATATAAGTTTAGCTGAAATTCTGTAGCAACTGAAAACCAAGAAGCAATGGACTGAACGATGTTGGCTGAGCAACATTTTTGGCAAACTTCAATTATTACTGTAAATGAAGTTTAAAGCTATTGCCACATCCTCCTTCCTAGAAACCTTTCATTTATATATACAGCCTCTCCACCAATGAGAAATTTCTTTGGATTGTCTTTCATCTAATTCATAGTCCTTGAGGTAAATATCTCAATGAGTACTTAGGTTTCCGTAAATGCACCTCTCTTTTGGCATACCGATTTCAACTTTGAGAAATCTGGCACTATTGTATCCTACTTGGTGGGTTTAGTAACTTGAAATCGAGAGAACAAAGGATAACACTTGGCTTGTTCATCATTTGTCACTTGTTTTAAGAAACAAATGTAGAAAAACTTCCATTTCTTTCTGTTACCTTATTGTTTATATCCAATCATGCAGGCTGCCAAGAACGGAATACCCGTACAAGAGGTCATTGTTGATATCTTAAATCAGAAGTGGGACCATGAGAGGACCAAGTTCTCTTTGCCTCCATTAATGACTCTTGTAAGCATCCGGATTCTGCCTCTTAAAAATGATTTTGGAAGGCATTTTTATATTTACCGCTTCAAAAAGTTGTGTTTGGAAGTTATTTTGTGTGCTAAAGAAATGAGGCTCTATTAGTGAAGACGGATTTGAAAATTTCCCCACTTAATCTAATGTTGTGAGGCTCATACTTTCTTATATTGAACTTTCTGTAGGTTTTTAGCACTAATAATTATTTAAACGTATTCAATTTTGCATGCCCCACATATTGCGAAATTCAACTTTATTTGTTCCATAGGAATCTGAATGTCACCTTAAAGTGACTTGATCTTGTCATCGAAGGACCTCATGTTTTTTAATTCCATCAATTTTGATTTGTGATGTTCGATACAGTTTGTTTTTCTGGTCTGTCACTTTGAGTCACTCTCATAGACAATTTTGTGAATTAATCTTTTTTTTTCCCTTTACCGTCACTTTATTTTCAAGCTCTCTGTAAATCATTAAGCTCAGCGATTTACTATGCTTCATTTACACAATAACCCATGCTTCTCAATTTTTGTAGTGAGTTCTCTCCCTTTAAAAGGATGACTGATTTGGAGTGCATCTTGAATATATATATATATTATTTATTTATTTTTTCTTTCCTAACAATTAAGAACCGGATGGGGGCGTAGAAATTTGAAATTCCAAATTGCATTTTTCCTTTTCTTGGTCTTTGTACTTAAGTTATGTGCATTTGTATAACGTTTATATTCTTAAATTTTTTTCAATGAAAACTCAATTTTTCATACAATTGTTACTTCCACATATACTTTTTTCTTTCTTGTCCATAATCGTGGTGTTTTGATCAGGTACTTGGAGAGCCAGGAGTGGGAGGGTCATCAACGCCTTCAATGGTAGGAGCTGTCAAGAAATGGCAAAAATCTGACCCTCAAAAGTCTCTAGACACGTGGAGGAAGTTGTCGCAAGGGAACTCAGAACTTGAAACTCAACTCACTATGTTGAGTAAACTTGCTGCAGAACACTGGGATTCTTATAAATATATCATAAACAGGTGTTCCATACTGACCTCAGAGCAGGTATCTCTCTCACCCTTCTTATAATCTAAATCTATTACTGAAGTAGTAGCCTTTTTGGTGAAAATGAAAAAGAAATACTAATATAGTTGATCATTACTCATGAAATTTTTACGTACTGTGGGAGGTGGACCAGAAATTTAAAATACAATATACACACAAAATGTGAGATCCCACGTCTGTTGGGGAGGAGAACAAAGCATTCTTTATAAGGGTGTGAAAACCTCCCCCAAACAGACACATTTTAAAAACATTGAGGGGAAGCTCGAAAGGGAAAGCGTAGAGAGAACAATATCCGCTAGCGGTGGGCTTGGGCCATTACATATGGTATCAGAGCCAGAAATCGGGCGGTGTGCCAGCAAGGAGGTTGAGCCTCGAAGAGGGGTGGACATGAGGCAGTGTGCCAGCAAGAATGTTGGATTCCGAAGGGGGTGGATTGGGGGTCCCACACATCAAATTGAGAAGGGAGCGAGTGCCAGCGAGGACGCTAGGTCCCAAAGAGGGTAGATTGTGAGATCCAACGTCGATTGAGGCGGAGAACGAAGCATTATTTATAAGGGTGTGGAAACCTCTTCCTAGCAGATGCGTTTTAAAAACATTGAGGGGAAACCCGAAAGGGAAAGCCAAAGAGGACAATATCTGCTAGCGGTGGGCTTGGGCTGTGGACTTCAGAATTTGTATCTGACCTGGTCTTTGGCTTTTAGTCAGAATGCTATTACTTTCTGACTTAGTATATGTTAGCAAATTATGTCTCTTTCTATACATATCTATCTCCATTAATGTTGAAGCAATTTATATAAAAAAAAATGTTGCAGTGGATTCATCAAGCCTCAGAACCAAGCCAGCAAATCATCATCAAAGCATTATTAGGAGCAAGAAATGCGATGCTTGAGATCAGGCATCACATGCGCCTGATGGGTGAAGCTGCTGGTGTTCCGGTGAGATTTTTCTTCTTCAATTACTTTATCGCCTTATTATATCTAGCATTTTGTCCACACAGGTACGTCAGTAAATAATTGTCAGGACATGGCGACGGTGACAAATACATGTAGATAATAACATACTGAACTCCATTTTCTGGGATTTGTAGATTGAGCCTGATTCACAAACCAAGCTTTTAGATGCTACCATGAATATGGAAGGAGTCCTATTAGCCGGTGTTCCAGGCGCAGGTGGGTTCGATGCTGTTTTTGCCGTGACCTTGGGAGATTCAACCAACAATGTGATTAAATCATGGAGTAAACTAGATACTTTGGCTCTCCTTGTTAGAGAAGATCCTCGTGGCGTTGCTTTGGAAAGCTGTGATCCGCGAACCAAGGCAATTACATCAGCTGTTTCATCAGTTCATATTTAGTAAAGGGAAGGTTTCCATCTCGTTCTATTACATTGAATAATTTATTGTTTCAATTGACAATGTGAATTTTCTTCGAAAGATTATTTCCAACTTATTAGATAATTAATAATTGCTTCACTCATTCACAGATTGGATGAACGTCCATGTAATTTCCTTTTAATTACACTATGTATTACTCTTTCTCGATCAATAAGAGAACTAGCATCAGTTTCCCCTAATTTTCCATATTATTCTGCTCCGAAGGTTGATTATTCTGGACAGTTGATATTGCCAATGGTTTACTTGTGTTCTGATTAATATTCTTTAATTATACAGGGCGGTAGCATACCTGTTTTGGTGTCATTCAGAAGCAAAATTAGGTATCATCTTGCTAATGTCATCCATCTGCCTATTATTTGCTTCCTACCATTTCTTCATCTCTTGGTGCTAACTCTTGAGTATTGTTGGGAGGTAGGCCCATGGATTTATAAGTAAAGAATACATCTCCATTGGTATGAGACCTTTTGGAAAAGCCCAAAGCAAAAACCACGAGAGCTTATGCTCAAAGTGGACAATATCATACCACTATAGAGAGTCGTGATTCCTAACACTAGCCTGTTGAGACATTCTAGAGATTCAAAATGAAAATATATGGGAAAGTTTTTCTCCCATAAATCATAGTTGAACAGTTCAGTGATTCACCAGTAATCCCTACACGAGCAGTTTCCATCTTTAAAACGATGGAACCGATTCCGGTCTCTTACAGTAATTTCTCGTTCATAGATCATTGAAATCAGTTTAGTGTATGTATGACAGTCAGTACACATTCTCAGGTTTCTAGTTATCCTTATTGCAGATCCCTGTGAAGTATGAATGAGGGCAAAAGCTATAGCCAACTTTTGGCTATGACCTTTCAATTTCTCTCTCTTTTCTTCTTCATCTACATCAAGCATAACCTGTGATGTATCTGCCATATAGCCTTCAAATCTCAATTGCCATTCCATCTGATGAATCATCTCATAGATTTTACCCGATTTGCAGTTCGATTTATCCTGTGAAACAAATTGGTATACCTTCCTTTTCACCTCCACCAAGCTATACCCTGGTGTCTGGACGAAGCCATCGTCGAACATTTTTGTCCTGATCTTAGCTACATTCTCCCATTGTTGAGCTCTTGCATACATATTAGACAAAACTAGGTAATCGCTAGGATTATGCGAAGACGATCGAAATAGATTCTCTGCAGCTACCTCACCAAGCTTTAAGTTGTCATGAATCTTACAAGCACTTAGAATACTCCGCCAAATTATATCATTCGCTTTTATAGTCATACTTTTCACAAGCTCAAACGCTTCTTCAAGCAAACCAGCTCGTCCCATCAGGTCTACTACGCAGCCATAATGCTGCATTGTTGGTTTAATCCCATACTCGTTCTTCATCCTATTGAAGATATCGAGACCTTCTTCGACAAGGCCGGAATGACTACAAGCGCTAAGCACACCAACATAGATAACGTCATCAGGCTCTAAGCCTTCTTCAACCATTTCTGAGAAGATTCTTAGAGCTTGTCTACCATGTCCATGTAAGCCAAGCCCTGAGATTATGACACTATAGGATAGTTGATTCCTTTTGGTCATGTTCTGGAAGAGACATAATCCTTTCTGAAGCGACCCACATTTCACATACATATCCATTAAGGAAGTCCTAACCGCAACATTTAGTTCAGTTATGTTTCTCAATAGAGCACCATGGGCACATCTTCCTAAATGAAGAGCACCCAAATGGGTGCAAGCAGAGACCACACTGACTAATATACTTTCCTCAGCCCTCCAACATCCTTCTCTACTCATATCCTCAAACAACATCAAACATTCCCTCCACAACCCAACACTAGCATGAGCTGCAATTATAGCACTCCAAGAAGCCACACTCTTTTCCTCCATACGTCGAAAAACAGCACAAGACAGTTCGATATCCCCACATTTCCCATACATATTGATTAAGCTATTCTGTACAAATAGATCATCTTCCAAACCTAGCTTGAATACATGACCATGAATCTGCATCCCTTCCTCGATTGCTGCTAACCGAGCACAAGCCTTGAGAACTATCGGGTACGTGAAGTTGTCGGGTTCTACTTCTCTTTGAAACATATCGGCATACAGATTTAGAGCACTCTCAAAGTTCATGTTGTTAACATAGCCTCTGATCATTGTGTTGAAATGAAATGTGGTAGGTTCATCTAGCTCTTGGAAAATGGAGCAGGCATAGTCCATGCTGCTCCAATCTGAGAACGCACAAGTGCTCAAAAGACTGCTTGAGCAGAAAGAATCCCAGAAAAGACCCAACTTCAGAATTTGAACATGAACTTGTTTGAATTCTTCTAAGCTCTTGCATTTTTTTAGAAGGCACAAACATTCCTGCTCCTTCTGCTTCAAACTCGAATCTAAACTTTGTGGCAAGTCTTTAGAGGGCAATAAATGATGGTTGTGGTTAAGGACTGATGTCCCCATCATCCTCTTGTCCTCACCATTTTAGAAATCTACACAAAGGCACTGCAAAATAAATGCTATGCTTACCATTCTCTGAAAAGACTCCGGAATCATAATAGGTGCCTACGGACAAGGCTAACGGTCTCTCGTGTGCGTCGAGAGACGTTGAAACCGATGGAAACAAGCTTTGTTTAACTCGGAATTCGATAGTTTCTGAAGTCTTGATGGGATTTGAGTAAAGGGTAGGAGCTTGTTTGTTTGAGGAGTGAGAGGAGAGAATTGGGGGCTGTGAATCTCATCCATGAAATATGAGGAGAGAATTTGAGCCAGAAGAAAATGGAAGCGTGAGATTATGGGAGATGGGGATTGTGGATAGGATAATGTGTTGGAAGGGGTTGGCCTTTTTGGGATATTTCTCTTCTATTTCAACCTCTTATATTTTGCCAAGTCAGCAAGTGGGTCAGCTTTATATGTTATGGATTCATGTGGCGTGGGGCCTTTGCTTTATGGGTGGTTCAAGGACCTCTATTATTATTTATTTATGCTTCTCCATTTAAATATTGAAGAAAAAAAAAATGCATTTTCAAAATTAGATATGTCGGAGATTTTATTTATTTATTTATTATTATTATTATTTTTACAGAAAAGTACATCCTAACTATGAACAAAGTAGGTTGCGACTCTCACGTTGCGACAAGAGAAGCGGCGACCCTTAAGTGGCGCTCATCCGGCCACGCGAGTGCCTAAACGAGTGCCCACACAGAGTGGGCATTGAAGACAAGTCGATGCATAAGCAAGATAAAGACATTGAATAGACAAGAGTGACAGAGATAGACTTGTTGAAGGGTCGAGTAGGGTCCTGGACCTTAACCTCGAAAGTCGGGTTTTCATAAGGAATTTGGGCATGCGGTTCTAGAGTTAAAGTTTGTCCATATGAAATATGAATACTCGCTAAATTTGGTGTCAATCGGACCTTGGACGAACGCTCCATGACATCGTATGACCATTCGCCAAAATCACGTCTATGCGTGGAGTATTGAAAATGACTTAAAATGTATATAAGGGGGAGACATGGTGTCAGCTCTCCACCACCCCTGGGCCTTGTGGTCTAAGCAAGCTACCATGTGGCACATGCGCGTGTCATAGTGAGAGCGAGCGTCTCGTACGACTTCCTTTGAAATGAATTTTTCAAGGACAGTATTGGGCGGCATGGGTGTATCGGTATTGCACCACTACCCACGTGTCGGAGGTTGATATATGCACCCACTATCCAGTACAATATCCATAAACGACATGGCATGGGCTCAAGAGGGCAAATGCCTCGATAGAATCCGAATGGATGGATGAAGCGACACGTGGGCCCATTCTCGATGACATGTTCAAATGAGTTGTGATGGCTGACGACACCCAAGACTTGGGATGACATCAAGACATATGGGTCATGTCGATTGAGGACCAAGATGATAAGATAAGATGCGATGTTGTATTGAGAGACCATGACCCAAGTAGAGACAAGGTTGAGCCTAATGACCTGGCTTAGTGCAGAGGCAAGTTGGTTGTGTCGCAGATGATTGAACATGTACGCGTAGATGGCGTGTGTGGTCGAACAAGCTTTAATTTTGCACAAACGATGTTCGATTGATGAAGACAAACCTCGTCTAAAGTCCGATGAAGCTATAAAGTCGAGGCAAAAAGTATATATGGAACTTAATTCCTTTTAAAGGCTGGTCGTGAGTGTGTCAAGATCACGACGTCGTACGGTTGAAAAAATGGGACCGTAACACTTAGCAGGACTAATAGACTACTTGGGGTTCAATTCCAAAAGTCTGGGTTTAGTTTTGTAAGCATTGATTATTGTTTTTAGATTTTATTTTAAAAAGAAAAATACTATTGCAGCTTATGATATGGGTATAAAATTTTGCAGGGGTAAATTATAATATATATCATTTTTATTTAAAAGTTACTATCAGAGATTGAGAATGATTTAATCATGTTAATTTTTAAAAATGTATTTTTCTTTATGATATATTTATATTTATTTTATATTTATTTAATTTATAATTATTTATTTTTCAACCCTTTCTATTATTATTATTATTATTATTTTTACTATTTGAAGGATAATTTTTCAAAATATATATTAATATTGAGTTGCAATAAATAGGTTGCTACTAATTATCATTTTATTTTTATTAAAAATAAAAGTTTAAATAAATAACTCGAAGAATCGAATGGATAGGGTTGAATTATCATTTATCAATAGTTATTTGAGTTGAAAAAGTTTACAACTCGAACAATTTGACTAGGTTTATGTCTCAATTCGACCTGACCCAACCCACGAATCTAACAACTAAAGATTGGGCTGCCACTATCGATGGGCGTAACAAAAGAAACCAATTAAAAAAAAAAAAAGAAGAAGTACATTATGAGTGTAAGTCATCAAATGATGTGTGCACATATATTCGTACGGATTTGTTCATCTGAAAAATCTTATTAATGGTTTTTATGAGTTGAGTTGGATTGTGTTGTAAAAATCTTTTAAACCAACTCGAAATTTTGGGTTTGTTGAGTTGGTGACGGGAGTAATCTAAATAGAATTATTCAACCTAACCTTTTATTTTCGAGTTGGGTTGTTGAATTGTTTATTTTTTTATTTGAAAAATTATACTTATCTAAAATACATGTTACGTTAATAATTAAAATCTCATAAAAGTTTATGTATCACTAACATCGATTATAAATATTAA